TTTCTTGGGGGGAAGGGAAACCCCCTTTAAAGTTAACCAACCAAAAAGGATTCTGATTTTTTCGACTCTTTTTGGGGGGAAGGGGGTTCGCATTTTTTCCGCCTTTTCTTTTCGCATGTTTTGTCCGCATGTTGTTTTTTGGGGGAAGGGAAACCCCCTTTAAAGTCAACCAACCAAAAAAGGATGCCGATTCTCTTGTTCAACTGTTTTTTGGGGGAAGGGTTCGCACTGTTTTCCGCATTTTGTTTCGGCTTCTGTTTTTTCCGCATGTTTTTTTAAGGGGAAGGTAAACCCCCTTTAAAGTCAACCAACCAGAAAGGATTCCGATCCTTTTTTTTCACGTGGAAGTCCGCTGGGCATCTGAGGAAGAACCGGATTTGCGACGCCCCGGGGAGTTGGTACTGCGTGGGCCAGCCACTGGCCTTCGGCGAGGGGGACGTGGTGGGGGGAGTTTGTTTTTTTGGAGAGTCCGTGCCTCCCGCCTTTTGCTGTGGGGAATAGTAAGGAAACCAAAAATAAACCGATGCCATTTTGCTTTTTGGACTTGGTACCCCGTTTTGGCTGGTTTTTAAAGAAACCAAAAGGAACACTGAAGCCTTTTTTCTTGGGGGGACGGGGTCCCAAAGAAAAGGACACATCCGCATGGGAAGACGGCGATTCGGTCTGACCGCTGCGACTTCCAATCCAAATTCTGCGGGGAGTCTCGCAATTTTCCGGGTCATCCGGACAGATGATTCGGTTACATGGCGATTCGGTCTTTGTTTGACCGAATGGATGGGTCCAGAGCACCTTTTGCTTGGATTGGTGGCTTGTCCTAGTTCCTTGCGCAACCAAATGGCAACGGCACCTCCCAGCCACCGATCCAAACCGGCAACTAGGGTTCATGTTCTTTGCAGATCTTGTTCCATACCTTTTGCTCGGAGATAGCTGGCCACGGGGCATGGATATTGGATGGACACTAGGCAGGGCAGGGCTCCCGTTTTCCTGCTTGTTTTTTTTTTTTTTTGGGGGGGGGGGTGACGCTTTTCAAGGTTGGGGAAAAAGGGAAACAAGAAGGACAACACCATTTTTTCAGAGGGTTCCCCACCCAAATCCCGTTCCATTTTTCAGGGTGATTTGATTGAAACATCACCGATGAGAGGCCAATTTGAAGTCAGTTTTCTTAGGTGTGATGCTTCAAGGGGGTATGTAGCAAATGACATTTCCCAACCGATTTCCCAACCTATTCCTTACAAAAAGAGACGCGCAAATGAGCTTGCATTCCACATGTCCTAAGATTCCCCCCCCCCCTCCTCCCCCCACACATTCCCCCACACCCCGGAATGGCCTTTTTGCGCTTGGAAAGCTGGGGGGGTTGAAGGTTGAATCGCTGGCTACTTCAGGGTGGTTTCAAACATCCACTCTCCCGGCCCTTTCAATGACCTGCCTTTGGGCGGGCCGATCTTTTTTTTGTTTGTGGGGGGGATGGATGTGTGCTCGTGTGAGGCTCTGGAAGTTCTTTTGGAGGTGGTGGGAGTTGAAAGGGCAACCCCACGCAACTGCATCGGGCAAGATAATGATATAGAGGACATCCCCAACAGATAGGCGAAGCTTGCACTCTGGCAATTCCGGAGTTTGGTTTCGACGTGTTGCCCTTTTTTGGCTTTGGCTGTGACTCCCGAAATGGGACTAGCCCTTCTCATTTTCCCTGATCCCAAAGGAACGCCACCCAACAGACTCCAGGGCCCCATGACTTGGGGGAGGGGGCCTAGGCTTTGTCATAGATCGCCATGCTCAGCAGTTGAAAGTTGAAAGCCTCCTAATGTAGGTGAGCCATGCAGCTAAGTCCCAGGGCTAAGTACACTTTGCCCAGGCTTGCCAGTCTAGCAAGCGCAAATCATGGGCAAATAGGGGGGAACATTCAGAAAAGCGTTGCAGAAGCCAGCCGGAGAATCGGGTTGCGCTTAACAGAGCGGGCGGAGTGGACCAACTGAGGAATCAAAAGCCCAGTTGTTTCTCTCGCATGCCACGTTGAGCCCTTGACTCATCGACTTGAGTCAGTTGCAGGTTCCTGTCCACTCTTGAAGTGGTTCCTAACTGACCCCAGATGAGTAGAAAGCCCTAGAGATCTGAGAGTGTCCCCTAGTGGCCCTAGTGGGAATCCGGATCACTTTCGGGGCCAACACCCCACCCGCCATTATTAGGACGGGGTTTGCTTTAGATGCTCAACGTGATACAAACTCGGGCGTGTCCTTCTTGGAATAGTTGTTCCTTTTGGTGTCCCTTTAAACCCACAACCCAGAGGCTCCTGGGGCTTTCAATGGAAGACCCGACCCCTCCATTAGACACCCCGGCGGAGGTGTTTAGGGGTCTCAAAACCTGGCTTTTTGAGGGCCCTAAATACATCGGGAGCCTCTGCGAAACAAGAAACAAACAAAACCGGTTGGTTCCCTTTGCCTCCAAAAAGCGAGGAGCTCCGCCCCCCCCCCCCGCCCAGGCTGCTCGCCGCTCGCATAGGTACCCGCCAGCCTTGAACAAGCTCATCGCCAAGCGGAAGAACTTCGCGCAGCTCGAGGACTTCAACCGGAAGGCCGAGAAGAGTGAGCCTCCGGCCAGTGGACCATGATTCGTGTGGATGCGTCGTTTTGTTTTTTTGGGGGAACCCCTTTTTGGGTGAAAGGGAAACTGGAAGGAACCCTTTTTTGTCAGTTCACCACTTGAGAGAGGCCTGCATGAAACCTTCATGACACGATATGGGTATGGGTCAAAATTCAACCAACAGGATATGGACCCAGGGCAAGCCATTTTGGGTACCTATTTTTGACCCGCAGCCATTTTTGTGGCTTGTGTCTTGGGGGGTTTTGGGAAAAATAGGTGCCCTTGTTTGGAACCCCTGTAAAGCTGGCACCTTTTTGGTTCAAAGGGAAACTAAAGGGAAAACCAACACTTTAGGGGGTCCTATGGTGAAACAAACTTTTGGCCTCTTGTTGGGGTAGGCTTCAGTTCACCTCTGAGATTCTTTGGTTTCACTTGTACTTGGTGGTTCTCAGCACAAAATGAGCTGGACTGCCCTCCATAAACTCCATTGCTTGTTTCCTTTATGGGGACCCCTTTTTCCAGTTGGACAATCCGCTGCAGTTGGTGTTGTTTCTTAGTGGGGGAACTACAAGGTTGGTTCTTGTTTCCTTAGGTTTTCTTGAGCCACCAGAGGGTAAGTGCAAGATCGGGTGGTTGCCTTTGGGATCTTTCGTGGTCTCCTGTTTAAAGACTCCAAGAATGGCATCATCTCTCCAACAAACATGGCAGTGGAGAGTGGCTTCTGCCCTTCTTTCAGCTTCCGGGTGCTCAAACCAAAGAGTGAGTCACGGGCCTATCACCAGCAAGAATGGACGCCAAACCTCCTTGGTTGGTTTTTCTACAACAGACATGTTTTTTGATCTTGTCCGTTTTACCTTTCAAGTTTTATCCAACGAAAACAAACAAAGCGGTTGGGGGTCCCTTGACAAAGGCCCCGCACCCAAGGATTACACTCGTCACGTGGAGAAAGAGCAGGCGAGAGGCAGGGGCGAGGACCTTTGAGCGCCGAGCTTGAGGCGAACGATCCGCGGAGAGAAAATCGCCGCGCGCGTAATTGTGGGCGCGTCTGTTCGACGCGGCGCGAGACAGCTTCACCACTGACGACCCGGTTATTCTTACAGACCAAACCCGTCTTTGTCAGAGAAACTTCCTTTCGTTCTTTTTTTGGTTGGTTCAATGAAGACAAAGCAAAGCCACATGAGACCAAATAAGGCTTAAACGAGTGGAGGAGTCCTGCGAATTAGTTCGTAAGATCTCCGATAGACGCAAGTTGCGGCAAGAAAGCAGCCAAAAGGCGCTGGCTTGCGCGAGGGAAAGTCTCAGATGTGTTCTAAAACGAGCTTGCTGCTCAGTAGGGAATGACCCTGGTGTTGGGAATGAACCGTTTCGGGATCCCCTTAAAGGAAACCATATACGATGTATTTAGGGCCCTCAAACCGCCAGGTCTTGAGACCGGGTCCCAAACACCGATTCCTGGGGTGTCGTTTTGGAGGGGTCGGGTCTTCCATTGAACGCCAAAGCCAGGAGCCTTTGGGTGGGTGAGTTTTCCTTGGTGCAGGACGTGCATTGGCAACGTCTCTCGCCTCCGGGCGCTCTTTTGGGTGAGACCTCAGAATGAGGCTTGAAGGGAAGCAGGTAGGCCTAGGAGACCCTAACATGAGTGGTTTTCCTTCTTGTTTCCCTTTAAAACCTACCAAAAAGGGAAAACAGTCATTTTGTGGAGCACACCCATTTGCCTGGGTTGCTCAAATTCCAAAATAACTATTGCAGATAGTGCCCCATTTGCAACAACCCATTTTGCTAGAATTGTCTCCTCTTGCGTGTCCCGAAGCATGCGTCAGAATAGGAGACTTGGAACATGGTGGGTTCCTTTTGGTTCCCCTGTAAACCAAGTCGAAAAGCTGCGTGCATGGCCCATTCAATGGGATGTTCAACAGGTTTAGACTTCCTCGAACATATCCCAGTCATTTGCCCGGGTTGCTCAAAACAAGCCATTTCAGAACTAAAAAATCAGACGGTCTTTGATTATCTGCCCTCCCCCCAGTAGTGCCCTTTTACCTTTTTTTCTTGGGAGGGTTTCCCTATTAAAATCGACTACAGAAAAAATGGTACCCTTATTCAAACCTCTCAAATCTGGAGGACCTAGTTGTAGTTCCTTGGGGTTCCCTTGTGAAGCGACCCCTTGTTAAAGTTAAAATGAGCCATAATATATTATATCTAATTTTCACTATAACATTTATTGCTAGTATTGTTCCATTTATTGGAAAATTTTGATATCTTACTCTACTGCTATTGGGTTGGATCTTTAGACTAACTTTTTGGATTCCCCTCATATTTCCTTTTCACCAGCAAAGGATCTACAGCACCCAAGCTTAATACCATTCCTGTTGATATTGATGACCTCCTCTTGAGTTCCAATGCCCGGGCTGCGGATCTCCTTTGAGGAGTCCTGCCACGCCTGCAGCCGGCCCAGCTACGACGAGGCGAGCGAGCCACGTGTGCGGTCGGAGGCGTACATCTCTCACCCGGCCAGTGGACACACTTTACACTTTTTTGTTGGTGGCTTCGCCTTTAGTCCTTTGGTGTAGTGGTGGCCGAAAAAGTGTGCACTTTTTTTTGGCAGGCCACTGGCTAAGTGAGTACATGGTGGTGTATGAACCAAATGCCGGGGCCATGCTGTGGCGGTTCACAAAGCCTCGAGGGTAGTGGGAATCATCTCAGACAAGCGTAATCAGTACGTTATTTTGGGGAGCACTGGTTTCTCCAAACATGTTCTTTGGAAGTGATGTCAAGGGGAAATATCCAGGGAACCTATCCTCAGTTGCCCAGTGGATTCCGCCCTTCTTTCTCTGTTTTTGGGAAGGGAAACCCCCCTTTAAAGTCCACCAGCCAAAAAGGACGCCCCTTTTTTTCGCATGGAAGTCCATTGGGCATCTGAGCATCCAGTTTGGAGGTTCTCTCATTTCCTGGGACCAACAAATGGCCTCGTTTGAGATCCAAACGCCTTCAAAGGGTCGAATGCTTGCTCAGTGTATGTGCCCATCAGGTCTTGGGGCAATGGAGTGGGGCCAGATCGAGTCACCCACGGAGCCTTAAATCCCAAAGTCAGGCCGGCTTTCCCAGCATGAAAAGCCCAGTTCCCACGGGGTTGGACGACGCAAAACGCCCAGTTCAGGCGCCACAGGCGCCACGGGCGCCACGGCCTGAGCTCGCCGTTTCGGTTCGGGGGCCGAGGTGCGCACGAGGCGTTTCTACGACTGGCAGAACTGCAACCCCATCAAGGCGCGATCACCTGAGCTACGTCCTCAAAACCGATTCGGGTAGAGGAAGGTTAAGGGAATAAAACACCCAGCCATAAACGGGTGCGGCCTCCTTGGTAATTCTTTACATGGTTCTGGGTAGAGCATTTTCATACCGGGTTTTGACTGTGACTCACCTGGTCTCTCAATCGGGTTGGTGTCCCTCCCAAGTGATTTGCTTGTGGATTTTACTCTGAGTGTCTGTTTTCAGAAACGCCCCTACCCCCTTCCCTGGTTTCTTCAAGTTCAGGCTTTGTTAGGATCTGGTGAGAAAACAGGGGTTTCCCGCAACTGTTTTTTCCGGGTTGTGTGTGTGTGTGTTTTTTGTGGGGTACCTTCCCACCAATTAACATCCGCACACCTACCTCAAGAGTTCAGTGAGGGGGCGCAGTGGGCTGCACGATGCCCTTAGCGGATGCTAGCCGGTCGGATGCTATTGGATCTTGAGACTGCAACTTTTTGGATACCCCTCATATTTCCTTTTCACCAAGTCCGACTTTTTGCTGGATCCACAGCAAACAAGTTCCATGAGTCCTTGTAAAGGGAGGTCCCTGTATCCCCTGAAGGTCAGGTTCAGGCTGTGTTGCTAGGTCCTCCAGATTTGAGAGGATAGAATCAGGGAACCAACTTTTGTTTGTAGTCTATTTTAGTAGGGTTCGGAACCCTCCCAACCAAAACAGAAACGGCAAAAAGGGCACCACTGCTTAAAAGGGGCAGGGTACTGAGCAAGTGGCTAGCAAGCCTGTTTGCAACCCACTGAACGGAGACTAACCATGGCTTTTGTGGGTTATAACCATGGCTACTACCTACTTGCCAAGTACCCGATCGCCCCTTTACCTAGACTCTCCATGGCCCATGTGCGTTTCCATTCATTTGAGGCTTCTGCAGGCGGCCAAACTGAAGCAGTTGCTGGCTTGGACGATGTTCCTTTTAAAGGGAAAGGGGCCCGAAGGTTAGGTTACTGGGGGAGGTTAGTTGGTGGGAGGGCAGCTCGTCAGGTGCTCTTGAGCCATTGCCTGGAGGGTGAGACTCCGATTCCGCCCTTCGAAGTGGGCAAGGAGCGGTCGGGTTGGTGTTTTCCAGGGGTTTCCCGGGAATTTGGTGGAAAACCCAGCTTGATTTTAACCAAAAAGTTAAAGTCTAAAGATCCAACCCAATAGCAGTCAAGAACCATCGTTCTTGCCAAAAGCCGATCGCCATTTCCCCGAGGTTTTTGGGTGGTTTTCTAGAAAGAAGGATCCCTGGAAAGAATGGGCAAGTTCCCCTAGAGTTTTGAATTCGCAGACCTGTAGGCGAGCTCAGATTCTTTAAGAAAATGCCAAAAGGAACAATGTTAGTGCATTTCGCCAAGGGATGTTGGGACTTTAACTTTTTGCCAACTAATGGGATTTTCCGTATTAAACCACTGAAAGTTAAACGTTCAGCAAGAAAGCAACCACTAGCAAACAAGTCCCAGGTTGCCAAAACTTCCTGAGTTTTGGAACTTTAAACTTTTTGGGGAACACAATTTTAGTGGTAAATATAAAGTTTGAACTTGTTTTTGGGCCATCCACTCAGCCAGTGAGTTGCTTCTTTTTTATATAACGCAGGGGGCGATCGATCGGTCAAACAGGATTTTTTGACATCTCCGAGCCGTTAAGGATGAGCAGATTGGACATCGGAAGACAATTCAGGGCTTCCCGTTCCACTTGAGCCACAATTTTACCTTCTGTCAATCGGTTTGGAGGAGGCCTGGTGGAAGCTAGGTACCCCGAGACACATTTTCTCAAGACTGGTATCGGGACCGGGGCCATGGCTCAAAATCCCGTACCCCCAATAAACATCCCAATCCCCACCAAAATAGACTAAAATGGGTGGTGCACCTACCCCAAATATGGGATCCCACTGGTTTTGACCCACAGCCATTTGTAAATCACAGTGATTCGGTTGAAGGAACCCTGCCACGATCCTGTCTGCAACGATGCCTGGTTGGCCGAGCTCCTTCCCCTGTTGGCTCGGGGTTGCACAGATGGTGCAGGACTTGAATCACCAAGTGGACGCGTTGCAAACTACAAACCACAAACGCCATGGTGGTGTTACGACCCATTTGGCCGTGGGTCAAAACCAATGGGATCCCATTTTGGGGTAGGTGCACCACCCATTTTAGTCTATATTAGTGGGGATTGGGATGCTCATTGGGGGTACGGGATTTTGACCCATGGCAGTTTGACCTGCGGGACATTGCTAGGGACACTTAGCATCTACAGCAGTAACGGGGATGACATGGGGAACGCTCACCAAAACACCATTCGGAATTTGGCTTAACTACTCGTCAAAACTCCAAAACAATTTCTATCCCACCAAGCAACGTGGAACCTCACTGAGGGTTCTGGGTTCCCATGTCAGTGGACAGGAGGGAAATATTGACTCCGCCTCATGCGATTCCTCTCAAAGCGTGTTTCAGCCACGCACGATTTGCCTGCACAGTGTGTCTAAGAGATCAGTTCTTTTAGGGATGTCCTTACTCTCGCAAATCAATGGGCGTGGAACTCAGTGCCAAAAACGGCGCCTCCGAAAAGGAGATGACAGTGTTCGGGGATCCATCTTAGCATGCAGGTGGAGTAATCCGCCTCAAGTGTGTTCCCTGTCCCTTCTAACGAGTGTTGTTGAAGCAAAATGGAGATTGCTTTGAGGTCTAAATCCTTTAAGCAGTCGTGTTCTTCTCCCAAAGGCGGTCGGCACCGTTGCTTCAGGAGTATCTCCAAGAGAACTGCAGCGAGTGGAAAGCGCGAGCGGAGAAGGCACGGCGATGCGTGCAATGTGTGCGAGGTCGTGCGTTGGGGCGGCTCAGGGCTGTGTGGGGAACTCTGTGTTTGTTTCACATTTAGTCTACCCTAAGATATGTAATGGATATGGATATGGTGTGTTTTCTTCACAGGAACTGCAAGAGTGTTTTCAACAACCCTTGTTCATCCAGATCGCTAGTGCCCTGTTTCCTTGCGAAACCTCCCGCTTTTTTGCTCTCGGGACCCCCCGAAAGGAGTTTCCTCTAGACTAGCGGCGTCTCAGGTTCCTCCTCAGAAGTGATGCTCACACGAGAACTGTGGCAACGCAAATCACTGAGCCCCTCAATCAGCTGTGGCATTTGGGCAACCGAGCTGTCGGTACCATAAACTCAAAATTAGTGGTTTCTTGAGGTTGGGGATTTGTTCCAGGACCTTCCATGGGGATAGGCAAAAATTCCAAGTTGTTCTATTTAGGATACCGTCCATCACCCACACCTGGGACCATGGCACTTGTGAACAAATCGGGAGACGTCCTTCCGCGCTTTGTGGGGAGCCAACGAGGTTCCAATCCATCCATTCCATTTGACTCACAAATGGCAGCTTCGGTACCTGATTTCAGAGGCCACCGAATTGAGACGAGAGCTTGCAACCCCATGAAGGTTCCCAAGGGTGCTGTTTGAACCATTTTCGTTGAGTGTGGGGGGGGCTAAGGTTTGGCCCCAGGCACGTTATCCAGAAGAAGGTCATGTCTGGGGGGGTCTCTGGAAGACCATTTGGGTATGGTTCAAAATTAAACCCACCAGGATATGGACCGCAGGTTTTGGTCCATTTTTCCACTTGCCAGGGCAAGCCATTTGGGGGTTACCCTATTTTTGACAACCACCGCCAGTTCCCTTGAGCAGGGGGGTGTCTCCTTTTAGTGGGGATTCAGCACTTTTGGAGGGAACCCCCCTAATAATGGGACGGGTTTATTAATCCTGGGTCAACATTAGGATTGGGGATCCCTCCCGCGGTCAGCCGTCAGCGCGCGCCGCAGATCCGTCGCACGCACGGCGACATGTGGTCACTGCCTTCTGACCAGCCGCCGGGATACGCCCCAAGCTTAGTGCCTAGGTAGGTCAGCAGGGTCAGCCGCAAGCTTTGCAGAAAGTCAGGTGCTTTCTGATTCTGGTTCAGATTTCATCTGCCCTATGTGAGGTAGGTTTGGAGTCACCAATTGAAGTTGGTGCCAAGGTTGAGGTCAGACCAGAGTTATTTTTGTTGATCACCCCAAGGTAGACTTCAGGAATGGTCGATCTCGTGAAAAAGGGAAAGTCATGGGGCTAAAGAAAGCGGATCCCAGCAGATTTGTCGATCCCAATGCCTTAAGCTCCATGCCATCAACCCAACGGCCTCATTATGTTGCCATGATCAAAGTCACCCCGAAGTGGCAGGTTAAAGGGGAACAACCCCATTTTCTGACTTTGATGACCCCCAGCAACCGGCAAAATAATGATTCCCATCAAACCGCCGGGAAGAAGGCCACGCCTGTTGCTGAGCGAAGCGTCCTGCCCGAAAATCGGGGTGTGAGGCGCAAGAGATTTGTCCCGAGCTCTTCCCGCTCATGGTGCCGGAGGCGGAAATCGAAGCCTCACTCGAGTTCCGGGGTCCTGGGGATGGAACGCTTGCTTCTGCTTAAAACGGCATGTGCTTGACCTCTTGGTTTTCTCGTTTTGGTCCCCTTTTCGTTTAAAAAACAGAAAAACAAGATTCGGTTCGCCTTTTAATGTCAGGGTCGATTGGGTAAGTGAGTTGGTACTGTTGATTGCATGTTTTGCAGCACGCCCAGGTGGTCCGGGAACCATTTTTGAGCCTCTGGGGAGAGACCCAACAGCTTTCAGCTGGGCAATGCAGCGGATGAACCAAATTCTGCAGTGGATAGGTGGTCTAGCCCACAGATTGGGCCTTCTCTACTTCCATTTGCGTAATAATATGTTTCAATTGTCCCCTGTTTGTTTCAAAGGGAATCTATCACTACTGGATGTTTTTCCAGGGGTCTTAGCCAAATGGCAGTCTATCCTAGGGACTTTGTCCATCCACTGTACGGACCACAATGACAAGTATGAGGGGGGGGAGGGGGGGGGGGCAAACAATGAGGTATTTTGGCCAACTGTGTCGGAATGCCATTGATCCTTGGGAAAACATGCCCCCAGGAAAGGTGCTTTTCATCCCCCGACGCCACAAGCAAGGGAATTAAAGTTGTCCGTGCTGGCTCCGGATTAAGCCTTGCCATATCTTGCCATATTCTTCTTTGTTTGTTTTGGTGGGGGTCTATCAAACGTGTTCTGGATCCCGATGAAAGAATGCCTGTCAGGCGCAATGTTGCTGATGAGCAGTGGATGCTAACATATGCTTTTCGCCTAGCCCCTTCTCTGCAAATGAACCATTCACGGGAGCTGTTTCAAGAAATGGCCCCTTTTTTCAGCTCCACCCGCAGGAAGGCATTGGGGGTCGATATCCAAGCCCTTGCTCGCCGAAAGCCTCTTTGCTAGAGCCCTTCGTGTCTTTTTCAAGGTACCCCGGACACGACTTTGGTTTTGCCTTTGGTCTCCATTTAAAGCCACCAAAAAGGGGTACCACCAAAAACAGACACCCCTTTGGTTCTTTTGGGAAGGGGGATGGCCGGTTTGGATTTGACAAAGGCCTTAGACCCTGAATTGCTCGGGTCATACCGTGGATGGACAAAATCCTGCACCACCCAAGATACCATGGGAAACCATTGTTTGTTTGGTATTTACAGGGGATCATCTCTCATTCATTCGGGTTTCTTAGGTGGTGCGAAGTCGATTTCGTCCATCCACAGTATGAAGGGGAGACGGGGGGGTGGCCTGTGGATGGACGAAATCCTGCACCACCTAAGAAACCTTGAATAATGATTCCCCTGGTGCGAAATGGATTTTGTCCATCCACAGTATGGATGTGATTCGGAACCCCCTGCAGGTCGAAGACCTCTTGCAGCGCCCCATGGATTGGATAGGCCGAATCGGGGATCGGTTTCACATGCGCGGATCGATCGATCGCGCCCGGCGGGCACAAAGCTACGAATGCACATGCAACGTCTTATGCCTTTTGGTCGCAAGAACACTTTTATGTATACTTATTGTTTTGTGTTTTCCTCTTTTTTCCGGTTTATTCCTGTTTTGCGGCGCCGTTGGTGTCTTCCATCCAGTGTATGCCTTTCTTGCCTTTAACAGGTGCGTTGCCCCCACTCGCAATTGAGAGCTGCGCAAGTGAGTTCAGATAGTCTCATGTTTTTGTCCCACTATGTATTTCCGTGTTTCCTCGCATGATTTGCGTTGAGCGTGTGCATTTGCGCACTCTGCAAATTGACATGGAGCCCCAGTTCGGGGATCCCTGCAAACTTTAAAGGAATTACAAATGAGGGTTCTGCGCTTGCGCGCAGCGCGCCGCATCGCAACGTCAGTCGCGCGTTGGAGCCAGCACTGCGAGCGCGAAGCTGCGCTCAGCTGCGCTAACTGCGGTTTGCGTGCGTTTTCTCGCAACAGCAGTGCAGTGAAAGCGCGCAATGCCGTGCAGCATTCCTTGCGTTCTGCTTGCGGCAGGGCAATTGCAGCACGAGGTGCGCATGGTTCGGCATGTTTATTGCGTGCCATTTGCAGCGTGCGCGTTTGCACTGCATCGCGCAGTGGCTTCTGCGCGTTTGCACGGCAGCGTGCCGCGTCGTTTCGCCTGTTTGAATAATAACCTCAAAACAAAGTTATTCTCAACAACAAGACCCATGTCAACCTGCGCTATTTTCAGCAAGCTCAAACAAGGCATTCTCCAGATGTTTGAACCTAGGTCCCCGAGTAGTGCCCTTTAACCTTTTTGGGGGGCAGGGTTCCCCTACTAAAATAGATTACCGAAAAAAGTTGGTACTCTTGGTCGAACCTCTCAAATCTGGAGGACCTAGTAAGACCCATGTCAACCGGTTGACCTGTCAGGCCCTGAGTTCGACAGGTCAGGCCAGCCGAAGCTTCTCCGTGACCCAGCGCGGCGCGACGGCGCCTGAGCCGGCGCCGGCGGATCCAGCGCCGGCGGATGCGGCGACAGGATCGGAGTGAGGCCGACAACCCGGGACCCCGAGATTTTTTTATTCGAGGTGGAAGGCCCATGTGGCGTCATCATTTGGGGATTTATGTCCACCAGCTGGGGTTTGCCATGACTCGTGGTGTAGGTACTTTACTTGGGTATCCCTCAGGCTTTGAAGTTGCGACAATTGCAGATGGGTGGTGATGCTTGAAGGCGATCCCCACACATATTTTCCAGGGTGGGGGATGCTAAGAGAGAATCCGTAGCTGTGGCGTTTGGTTGGCGTAGTTACTGGTCTGCCAATTGTTTGGCGAGCTAGGACACAAATGTTTAATATCAATTTCAGCCAATGGAAGCAGTCCAACCAAATTGCGGGGATTTCTTGCTTGCAATGCATCGCAAAAATGAAGCCCGAAGGGAAGCCCCGAAAAGAGTGAGAAGCCATGAAGCCATCCACTGGTTCTTTTCCTGGGAACTGCAAATCCATCGCACAGCCCAGTTGCATTTTGGTTGGCAGTTCCCATGAATCGAGTACATTACCCTTAGCTAGACAGTTTCTGAAATCAGCTTTTGAAGGGAATCAACAACTACCAGAACAAGTGATTTTCCTCCAGGGGACTGAAGCAAATGGAAGATTATGCTATATACCTTCCACTGCTTTAGCGCGCAGCTGGCGAGTGCCACTCCTTGGCGAAGCCCCTGTGTCAGTTGTGGGTGAGGTGGCAAGGCGTATTTTCTTTGAGGTTTTCTGCCGGAAGCAACCACATGGAACCAGTACTGCACCTGTAAACCGGCATTTCTTTTATGACCGACCCTCTTGATGACGTGAGCACTCGAAGGAGAATTGCAAGTCCTTTTGGCTGACCAACCCTTTTCTGCTGGCAGGTTCACCTCGCCGCGTTTCGCCTGAGACCCAATCCTGCAAAAGGTTAAGGGGCATCTCGTGCAGGAACAGTGTCTGGCCAAACTTTCAAATTTTGGAGTTCGC